TAATTTATTAACTCTTGGGCTACTTCACCCCAAGTCATGGGCCCTCCTCGGACTCGTCTTCCTCCTCGTGGGGCTAGTGCGTCCTGCAAGTGGTCTTGCAGTTGCACTGCACATAGTTTCAAGGAATCAGGTAAACCTCGGATTAGGGGAGTCGTTCTGTCAGGGTTAGCAATTAATAACATTGGGGAAGGTTGCTGAGGAACCAAACGCCTATCATGCATTAACTGAAGACAAGCAGCCTTTTGCAGACTCTTGATCAAGTGTTTTGTGGTTGGGGTTTCAATACATACGGGATCTCCCCTTTCCAAGGGGTCTAGACCCCCTGCTCAATAGGCAGCTCGCTGGGTTAATGACCACGGCTCCCTGGTGTCATCAGTAGTTAAGAAAACCCCTGGCCCCCACAGTACCCCTGGGCCTCATCTTCTGACAACAGGATTCAGCCACCACCGGTTAGTGATACCCTCCATACATATTCCGTTTCAGTTTCTTGGGCTAATCTAATATATTTTTCTTGGGTTTTTGACATTTCGGCCGCCAAGTACGGCACCGTTCGGCTGGTGATTTGCGGAGCTCCCCCACCTTGGTTGTCATCAGTGGTCTCCATTTTAATCACTGCCTCATCACCACTTCCCCATTCTCGGGGTAAAATATTTCTTGCTTGATTTCTAGTTCCTTACTTGGGTACAAAGGTCTTAGGCTCTGCTTTTCGGCCATCTGTGCCAAGCTTGTAAATCCCGGCACACTATCCGGAACAGAAACAAGATCTGTCCAGTTGGGAGATTTTTGTCCCCCTTCCTCTAATTCAGAACGTAAATTTTTTTCTTGGTCCAGTGCATCTGACAGGGCCGTGTGGAGTCACTGAGTAATGTTACGTGCAGTGGCTAGTTGACCCTGCAGGGTTTTTATTTGTTCTTGTAAAGATTCAACCATTTTATCTAACCAGGTGCCTCTCCTTCTGGGCTGCCACTAGTGCTGCTCCCAACACAGCACACACCATGGCTTTCCCTTTTCCCGGTCGAGCCTTTTGTTCTTTCATGAGGGTTGTGATTTTGTCCGCTACAGCTTTCGGGTCGTGCCAACTAATATGGGCCCATGCCACCCCTGGTGGGGAAGGGCATGCCTTACATTCCTTTAACTTTTCAACCACAGGGAGCAGTCAAGCACCGGCATTTCCCAGGCAGCCATGGCTTGCCACTGCTCGAACCTCTCCCGGCTTATGGCTGAGAGGTCACTTCCCGGCTCTCCCCGCCCGCACTCACCGGGTGGAGAGTCGGAATCCCGTAGGACCTTCCAACACTGAGGGGATCCTGTCCGTGACAGCCTGGAGTCAAGAATGAGTCACACAGCTGCACATCCTAAAGGAACTTTGGTAATAACAGCACTTTACTGAAGCATTAAAAATGCTCAGTGTGGGTATCTCAGAAGAAAGCATTGCTCGTTTAAGGAAAAGAAGCCTCGGAGCCAAATTGCAAGAAGAACTCTTGGGAAAACAATATGTGTGATAAAAACTTGCCCATTTTGCTGACAGGGGAAATAACCTTGTATGACGCAGCTCATTCCTGGTCACCCTGATCAGATACACTGCACAGGGGCACGGGGCAGGATTTTGTGCGAAACAGGTGAGAATTGCATCTATGCCCAGAGCGAGGAGAGCCGTGACATCACAGGGGCCAGATGAATATTGAACAATAAGCCTATACACAAATATGCCTATTTAACGATGACTCCACCACCTACAAGCAAATGCTCTTCCTTATTCCTCAATCTTGCTATAATAGGAAACGGATTTTGGAAGATTTCTGTCCTGATACTTCAGTGTCTTCACTTCTCCAGTGTTACTGAAACAGAAGATGTTTAAAGTAACATTCTTCACACATTTTCTTCTCTAAACATTCTAAGAATGTTTAAAGTAACATTCTTCTTCTCCACATTTTTTTCCCCAAACTTCTTTTATCTGGGGAATGAAAACAGCCCAACTTCTTTCCTTGTCTGGTGCCCACATGTAAAACCAGAACGAAGAAAATCTCTCTTTCTAAATAACATTTTAAAACAGCCCCAAACATCTCTTACTGTTCTTTTTCACACAGTTGCTACCACA